GCTGTGCCCAGCTTAACATCTGCACCAGCTCCAGACCAGGCAACCCTGTGGTTTTCTGTATCTGAATCAGGAGATTCCACTTAGTTGATACAATTCCTTACGTGCTCAAATCTAAGTGCTTATGTGGGCTGAGGTCAGAGCTGGTACCATCTCAGTGGTAAGGAGCAATGGCTTTAGGCCACATGTGTGCCTCCCAGTATTTAACTAAATTCCTTTTGTGGCACGTCTCCTATGGAGCCAGGCTGAGAGAGCTGGGCTGGGTCAGCCTGGAGAAGAGAAGGCTCCTGAAGGGGAGACCTCAGAGCAGCTCCAGTGCCTGAAGGGGCTGCAGGAAACCTGGAGAGGGGCTTTGGCCAAGGGCCTGTAGGGACAGGACAAGGGGGAACTAGACGCGCTTAGGGTCCTTTTCAACCCAAAATGTCTAGGATTCTGTGTTCAACAATTAAGGCATCTCTAGCACCATGTATCTATTATGACCTGTGGCTTTCCCATTTTTTCTTGGTTTTTGTTTTTATATTACAGTAGTTTACAGTTTTTGACTATTTGGAGGCAATCACTGGAAGAGAGAAGATGGTGAAGAGGAGACAACCCATCACAACTAAACCAAACCACCTGCCAGTAAGTGACATCCTCCCTCAATGCCCTTGGCTGTACTGCCTGCTTCCCGTGTAGTGGTGCTGGATGAATACCCCTGGTTTAGGGAGGGCCTCCACCAGTGACTTCCTTTGGCCAGGCTGATTGGTTGTGGTTTCACAAGTAACACCATCCCCTGACCCTGTACTGCTGGTGAAAGCACTATCTCCCTCTGCGAAGACCGTGCTGTGTCATCACTGCTGTGCTAAAGAGCTGACACAGTGAGCTCCGAGCCCCGCAGCTTGCTTTTCTGGATGTTGTGCCTCTAAACTGACCCCTTCTCAGCCCTGTCATGGGTTGGGTCCATCACAGTAGCCAACTTCTCAAAACACAGCAAGCACAAAGCAACATTATAATGAAACCAAGCGGCTTCTGAAGATGAAATCACACAAACTCTGCATCCAAATGCAATGCTGCAGCTTCTGGGAAATGCTGAGTGTGCGCTTCTTCATCTGGAAAGGTCTTGGCATCTGTGCTGTTTATCAAAATAACAACTCACTGAAATACAGCTGAATGTATTGCCAGAAATGTTGAATGAACCACTGTTGTTTCCAGTCCACCATGGGCTCTACTGGCTTTTCCGGAGAAGGGAAACCAGTGGGCTAGAAGAATGAACCCTGTATATGGCTCTCACCTGGTTGTAGCCGCGTATCGTGTCCCCCTGCAGCAAGTGCTGCCCCACCATCAGCAGCCCTGCCTCAGAGCTCAGGTGCATGCAAATTGCTGCAGGAGAGGAACCTTCTTCATCTATCTTGAGAATGGTTCTGGACATTGCTTTTAACAGTAGGTGCCACTTGTGAAGGGCATCCCCCGGCACCTGCCATTGAATGATTCTGGTTATCAACAGAGAAGAATTTCTGGATGTATTCCCGAGACTCACTATTAATTTAATCTGAAGTAAGCTGTGCTTTTTATTAACATCTTTACGCTGCAGCATTTTATAGAGTATCGGGTTCTTTGTAAGACACACATGCTGTTTTATATTCATATCTGCGCCTGCCTCAGAGCTGGCTTTGTGATGCAACTCATTAATTCAAGATTGAAATATCTTTCTCATCCTACGACACAGAGATGCCAGATATTTTCTACAAAGCTGATTAAAACACAGTTTTATACTTCATCTTTTACTGAACTACCAAACACTCACACCACTGCACTCCTGTTCTGGTATATTCTATGGGAAAGGGTCTTATTCAGCTTGCAGAGTAAGAAGCACAGACCCCGAGGAACACACATCTTTTTTAGTCAAAGGGGAAAAAATCAGCAGGTTAGCAGGTGCTCCAAAGTTAACAGCAGCTTCTGCCTGTATTCTGAATAACAGAAATGTGATTTGCGATAGCACATATGCACAGATGATGGCAGACACCTAAGCTATTTTCAAACAAGGAAGACCTCAAATAATAAGCATCATTCTAGAAAGACGGCTGCTAAACCCACTCGATGCTAAGCAGCAATGAAGCCTGCTGGTGTGACCGGCTCAGCTTTTCAGTGGTCCCATCATATGTCTCTCACCATCCTCAGGAGAGCTGTCCGGGGATACTGTGTGCTCCTGCTTGCTGCATCAGGTGTGGTGGTGGGTCACCAGTGGCTTCAGCAAGCCATGCAGGGACTCGGTGACCAAGCACACCCTTGATGCGTGCTCGCTTCAGAAGCACTATTGTCTCCTCCTCCCGTCCTCTGCCGTGAGTCACATCCGAATGCCTGATGCCGTGATCCAAACACCCTGTGGCTGCAAAACAGAAGTCTGAGGGCCAGACACCTCCTGCCCTGCTCAGTGTAGAATCAGAACAGTTCGGGCTGGAAAGGACCTCGTGCACATGTATGTGTGTGAACACAGGCCTGGCCCCGGGGACCAGAAACCCCCCTGTGCAAACACTGGTGGAGAGGAGACAGCTGGAGCACAACTAGGTATCTTCCTTCCAAGTTCTGCCCAGAGAAGCCCCAGGGTCCCAGGTCTCATCCCTCCCACCCCCCCCCAGTCCTGGGCTGGGTACCCATGGGTTTGGGAAGATATGGATGAACTCAAATACTCACTGTCTTTCACTTTATTAGGGTACCATCTCTACTTCCCAGCTTTCCTATTGCTTCCATATGAAGAAAGGATGCTGGGACCAGCACAAGGTCCTTAGCTAGTGCATACAAATTACCTATAAAGGTAATTTAAGGTAAAAAAAAAGGTAGAAAACCAGAAACAGTGGCTTCCCCACTCACACCCATACCCAGCAACTCAGCCCCAGGACCACAGGATCAGGCTCTTAAAACTGCAGTCACAATGAATGGTGGTTTGAGGCTCTCTTTTATTGAGTTAAGCTTGGTTTTGTTGCAATTTCCTCGTATGTGTTATAAAAAGGCCTGAAACGATGCAGGCCAGACTGGCCACCTCTTTGTCAGCAGAGCCACTGAGCATCCCACCTCAATTCTGACTATGCCCCCATCGAGAAGCTTTGATGTGCAGCTTTCAAAGCATTTAAACAGAGATAGAAGACTCGTATTTGACAATGTTTCTGTATGTTTGACTGAACTTCTCAGATCTCTCCATTTCTCTTCAGATGTACAGAGCCCGTGAGCTAAAAGCCAAGGTTTTTCCACAGCTTATGTTCTTGTAAAAACAGCTCCAAGTACACACATTCTGCTCCTCGCTCCAGTCAGGGCTCTGCATGCCAAGTCAAGTATTTATTTTCATTACTTTTGAGACCACCAAAATTAATGTATCTTTCAGACAGGAAGAATTTTATTTATTATGGTGGATTTGAATCCAAGAGATGAAAGAAGAGCAGCGTGCATCTCAAATGCGGCCGGGGCTGGGAGCAGGAGGCAGCAGCCTGACCCGAGTTCCCCTCCCTCCCCAGCACCAGCCCTGCCTGTCCAATGCTTTTTCATACAGATGGACCACAGCACTGTGAATCCCCCCCAAATCCCACCATAAATCCTGCCACAGTTATGGTAGTGAGGGCAAGCTTCAATGCTTTAAGGAATTCCCTGTTTTCCTAAGTCACTGGTGTAGTTGCCAGTTGATGGTACAGCTGTGGAGGGTGGGAAGCTGCTGGAGGGAATCTGCTCATCCCTGGAGAGCAGAACTCAGAGAGAAAACGGGTTACTGTTCCCTTTTCCATGTGCTGATACCTGAGCTCTACAACATGAGCATTTCCCCCTAGGTGAGAGGTAAAATGGCCAACCCAAGCCATGTTCTTCAGTGTCAGCCACAGCCCCACCAGCCATTTCCTTTGATAAGCTTCACCCAAACTGCTTAAGCTGGGATTTCAGCCTCCCTCTGCGATGCCGAAGGAAGATGCTCAGGCATGCTGGCTCAGCTATCAGCATGAATTCAGATCCCGTTACCGTGATGGACCCCAGCACGTGTTACTTTAGTCTAACCCAACCTGCTGGATGCCCTGGGCCATCCAGGAGTGTGTCCATGTTCCACTGGGCTGGCTGCAAAGGGAAGGACACACACCTTGGGTATTTCATTTGCGTTATGCTTTGCTTTCAAGAGGAATACATCACTGTTTACTCCTCAGATCACTGTGTTTTAGAAAGATAGAAATAAATCATAAAAACCACAGACAAAATCTGGACTTGCTCAAGCACTGCAGCCAGGAGCTGCAAGGCAAATTGGGCCCTGGTGATTCTGAGAGAAATCCCCACTGAAATCCTGCTCTCTGGCTCATGTGAACAAACCAGGTAAATTGGGTCCCAGCAGCTGGCTTTACATTACAATCCTCCCTTTTATTTCAGCACTTCGGTGCGCTCCACCAACCGGACTGCAGCGCCAGAGGACCAAGAGCTCTTCCCAACCCCTTTGTTGATACTAAATAGCTGTATAATTGTGTTTTATTTTTCTCACTGGTGAATAAAATGCAACTCAAAGTACCTGAACAGTCGAGCTGTTAGTGTAACGTACAGTCTGGTTAGCTTGGGTTTCTCCTGATGGCTGCTGTCTGAGCTTCATCCTTCATGAAAAGCCGATTCAGCAAAGGAGATGACACATGTGCCCTTCACCCAGACCCACAGCCAGTCATCCTGCCCATCAGGAAGAAATGGATTACATGGCTTAGAACTTTTCAGAAAGCATAACTTCACTTCAAGGCCAGAGCCCGGCCAAAGATGGATCGGGTTGGTCACTGGCACTAGTCACTTTTCAGTAAAAATACCCCATGGAGAAACCTGATTGATGCAGCTACACTTGAGGGAGGCAGATTGATTGTGTCATGGAGACCAGAGGAAGACTAAGACAAAACCAATGAAAACCTAGCCTTGGAAGTTCAAAACCTCATATAACAACTTGTAGCTTCTTCCACAAAGCTCATTGAAGCTTCAGACAAGTCCTAAATGCATTAGGATGTACTTGCCTGAAGTACTTGCCTGAAGTAATGCCAGTTTGGAACTTCTTGAGATACTTGATCATTAGAGATCGTCAGATCCTTTCCAGGCTGTATTTGATACCATTTCTCATTGCAAAACCTTATGTGGAACTGTAGTTTTCAGCTGCTTGAATCAGCTCTGAGCACACCTCAAGCCTGGGTCCTAGTTCTTTTAAGAGCGCAAAGAAAAAAGCAACGTATTGGACACCCAATAAAAGGGAATTTGTGCTATCCACAGTTAGTTTGAATTCAACTTAATTGTTTATTACTCTGAGGTCTCTAAAGGATAAAGAATATGGAATAAAATATTTCTACCACCTCAGCCTTTGTGAAAACATTCACAACCTGTTAAACACCAGGGTCAGTAACTTTGAAATGATCTCAGAATTTGATTTCATTCTATTTTAATTGCAAACGATATATTCCAGGGCTCACGTCGGGCGCGAAGCTGGGACTAAGGGAACATGAAACCCTTGCTTTTTTTCCCTCAGCTCTCCAGCCAGATGTACTGCAGGCAGGTGCAACACAAACTCCCAAATACCCTGCTAATGTAGCGAAAGCCTGACCTGGAGGGATGGATCTGAACGGGCTTTTCAGCTTGCATGCTTGTTCCATCCGCTCTGCGGAACGGCTGCCAGCCTGGGGACGCGGTGCCAGCAGCCCGGTGGTTTTTTTAATGCAAAGTTGCAAAACCACAGAGCTCATTTTTACTGGTGACCTTTTCACCACTAATTGTCGGGTACTCGAAAAAAAAAACCCAATTAAAAGAGAAGTTACTTTGGTCAGGGCTGAAACGATAGCCCAGAAACGCGCCTCCGGCTGCTGCTCCCTCACCCTGCACTGTTTGCCCAGTGTTTGCATCCAAACTAGAGCGGGTCCTGCTCGGATGAGTCAGACAGCTTTCTGGGTTGTTGCTTTAGTTTTCCCTGCAAAGCAGCTTTTGATTGTGAAATAAATCACCAAATACGAGCTGGAGTGTTGGGAAGAGGGAACAAGCAGCCAGGGTGGGGGCACAGACAAGGAGAGATCCAGGGCCGCGTCTGCACCAAGCGCTGAGTGAAGGCGGCTGTTTTTTTCCCCTCTAAGAACACACAGGTCTATTTTACTTTATTTCTACAGCTTTTTTAGACACGGGCTAGTCAGGAGTTGCAGCTGGACTCCCTCTCCCTAGGAGAGTTCAACCGAGTTTTGATCTCCTTTGCCCAGGTTTTCATATTGATTCATTCCCTAATTTCATTAGAATTGGCGACATGTAAGAGGTGTGTTTGTGAGCAGAGCCTGACCTACTTTTTCCACCTTCTCTGCCGAGTGTTGTACGAAGGGACTGAGCTGACGCTCGGCTGGGGGCAGTGGGACTCTCAGCTAGGCGACCTTTCTAACCCATCCAGTTCTGTGCTCTCCCCAGAGAATGCCAATTTCAAGGTTAAAAAAGGAGACAAGTCCATATTAGCAAGTCCTAGTGAATTAAAACAAGGACACAGAGCTGTTGGAGCAAGACCAGAGGAGGCCACGAGGATGATCAGGGGCTGGACCACCTCCCATACAGGAGCCAGGCTGAGAAAGCTGGGGCTGTTCATCCTGGGGAAGAGAAGCTGCGTGGAGACCTCAGAGCAACTTCCAGTATTTGAAGGGGGCTACAAGGATGCTGGAGAGGGACTGCTCATTAGGGACTGGAGTGACAGGACAGAGGGGAATGGTTTCAAACTGAAACAGAGGAGAATTAGGTTGGATATAAGGAAGAAATTCTTTACTATGAGAGCGGTGAGACACTGGCACGTGTTGTCCAAGGAAGCCGTGAATGCTCCATTCCCAGCAGTGTTCAAGGCCAGGCTGGACGGGGCTTGGAGCATCCTGCTCTAGCGGAAGGTGTCCCTGCCCATGGTACAGGGCTGGAACTAAATGAGCTTTAAGGCTCTTTCCAACCCAAACCAGTCTGGGATTCCATGCTTCTTGAGCTACCTTATTTATCTTTTTTGCCATGTTGCAGTTTCAGCTATAACACTGTAAAAGCTGGTCTTGCTATTTCTGTACACTGAAATACTTCTATATTCTGGCAAGGCCTTAAAGTGTAGGCAGTATTTAGACAAAAATGCCTAGCAGAAAGCCGAGTGGCAATGTCCCACACTAGCAGGTATCTCACAGGAAAAGTGTGATGCTTCTTCAGCAAAACACCCCCAGACTAAATAACAAACCCCCTCACTGGCTCTGGCCCCCTGCTATGCTCGACGGTCCCTCAAGATCAGCAAAGCTGCACCATGGGCACAAGCTCGTATTTATGGCAAATCTCACACCACTGTCAATGGGTCTGGACTGTCACAGAGTGTTTCTGTTGTTGCTTTTACAGATAGCAAATTGAGAAATATCCAGCCTAAATGAGAAAGAACCACAGTTTACAACAAAGCATGTGATGACTTGCAGCTTGGGGATTGCGGTCAGTCATATCCATGTGAATCCATCCACCACAATGAAGGAAATATCATTTCTACTGAGGGATTCTGTTCTGCTGGTTTTGTTTGTTATTTTCAGCCTTTGCCTCCAAAAACTTACATGTGGTCCAAAAGTCCTAAGGTGATTTCCTCTCCCACTCTGAAGCCACATCTTCACTAAGCCCAGCAGCTGCTGCAGAATGGCTTATTTCTAAACATGGGTAAAACCACTTTGCTCTGGTTATTTCTTTCTGTCAGCGCATCCCAATTTTCTCCCTCTTATTCCTTGCTTTCCAGTATTTATGTCAGGTAAACATTCGTTCCCTCAATCTTGCCCAAGCTGGTTTATAGCAGTGTTTTAACATTCAAAATCAGCCCTGTTGATTGGCTGGTGGCTGGATCACATGGTCGCTCAGCACTGAGCTGAGTTTCATGGCTTTAACCTGCCAGAGGGGAGACTGAGATGAGCTCTTAGGCAGAAGCTCTTCCCTGTGAGGGTGCTGAGGCGCTGGCACAGGGTGCCCAGAGAAGCTGTGGCTGCCCCATCCCTGGCAGTGCTCAAGGCCAGGTTGGACACGGGGGCTTGGAGCAAGCTGCTCTAGTGGAAGGTGTCCCTGCCCGTGGCAGGGGTTGAAACTGGATGGGCTTTAAAGCCCCTTCCAACGAAAACCATTCTATAATTCAATGATTGTAAGATCAGTGAGGAAGGTGATGGAAGGGCAGGGCCAGCCACATGTGCTCACCTCATCTTTGCTGATTTCACCTCCATCCCCACCACATCATGCTGTGACTCTACACACTAGTTTTTGAAAGCTCTCTGCTTTCAGAAACATGGTTTTAGCAGTAAACAGTTTACAGAGTTATTTACAGCTCAATTTACAGAGCATCCTACCGGAACAATGAAGGAATGCTGCGGCGCACATTGTCTGTCGAGTGTGGTCAGCAGGAGGAGTCTTCTCTGGGTTCTTTCATGCATTCTGAACCCCTCTCTTGCCTCCACTGCACAACCATCTAACCAGTTACAACACGAGCCTTGCACACAGGAAACCTGAATGTAGAAAATGACAAGGAACCCAGAAATGCAATCAAAGAAAAGCCAAAAATGGATAACCTGTAATTTTCATACTTTTTTTTTTATTAATTATCCCAAAGGATTTATACTTGAGCTCTGCCAGGAGCCTGGGGAGATGGGCAATTTGTCAGGGGAATGAAGCACTGCACCACCACTGCCCTGTTCAGAAGGAGATGCTAAGAGGGCAGGGACCTCATTGCGCACCAGCATCTGGTTTTGCTTGGACTGGATTTTAAATTTCACTTTTATTACCTTTGAGCCCAAAAGTTTTCAAGGAAGCCCTCCAAAATCTTTGAAATTTTGCTCTCATGTGAAGGCAGGAAAAGTTTTACCCTCAATTTAAGTGAGTACAGAGACAAGAGAGCCCAAGGCAGTTTGGAAACATGTAGCTGAGAAGGTCTCCTATGATCTGTGTCACAGTATGGAGCTGCTCAGCATTTCCTGGACAATCTGAAGCTCAATTCCTTAAGTTCAGCGTAAGGAGCTCCTTAACTGAAAGCATCTAGAGAAGTGCAAATGGCCTCTGTGTTAACAAAATAGCAGGTATGTCAGAAGTAAAGAAAGATGGAGATCACCTTCTGGGGAGCAGCTTTAGAAATGAGCTCTCCAAAGCTGCATCAGCACCATGGTCTCACTTGGGGTTTAGGGCTCCTCTATGAGCTGGTTTCTCCAAAGACACAGCAGTGACCCTGTGCCCCAGGAAAAGGGACTATCACCCTGTCATGACTCAAGGCACAGCGCTGCCTCTCCATATCATGACCAAGATTTTTCAGGCCTCAGACCTAACGAACAGATGTCCTCTATATGGTGTGATGGGCACTCCAGATCCGGGATGGATGGGTGAACTTGCACAGACAGGTCCTTTAGGCAGCAGCAAAGCCCAGCACTGGCTGGAGTGGTGGGGCAGTGGTGGGGCAGCACTGTGCCGGTTCTGTGCTCCCCACACAAGGCACAGCTCAAAGCTCAGCAGCAGCAGACACTGGGCGCTGGCACAGCAGCTGAGGAGCAGCAACGGCAGCCAAATGTATGAGGTCTTTAGGCACCCTGCAGCTGTGGCTGCCCGGGCTCTGCCCTGGGAGGGGATGTGGTGGGATTCAGCTTCTTCATGGCTGCAGTTGCTCAGATCAGTGCAGGCAACTTGTGAACTCCAGTTCCCTCTAAACCCATCTTGCTGCTCAACTCAGCAAGTGCACTGCTCTACCCAGCTCTGCCTGGATTCTAGCACAACAGACCAGTGACAGCACGGAAGTCTGGCACCCACCAGGCACATGCAGCCCACCACAGCCCATCCAGCTCCTTTGCATGCATCTGGCTCCTGCAATGCTCTTGAGACAAGTGCTTGTGAGCCCGTTGGCGCTGCAGAACCTGTCAGAAACACCAGCCCACTCCTCAGCCGGGCCAGGGCCGCGCACCACTGACAGGCACAGGGTTGCATCAGATTTTGCCAGCTGTGGATACCGCCCACAGCTGTTGTATGTGACCTCTCCTCCCTGCACCATCTGAATTTTCTGGGCTCTGAGAAAGCATGTAGTCATATAACCAAAACCAGATACAGGAGGAGAGGAACCTGTTTAAGATTTGAGATGACAATCCTGCCCTCAGTTACACTTTCTTGAACAAGAGCAGATTTGGTTAGTAACAAGATACAGACCTAATTCTGATTATTTTTACACCAGCAAAGCCAATGACTCTGGGAGAATGAGAAACGCTTTACACTGGCACTGGTGCAACACCAACCACCGTTGCTGTTTAGTGCCCTGGACATTTTCTCTACAATACAGTTTCAAATGCTTGCGAGAGCTGAAAACAAAGAAACAAAACCCCAGCCTCGTGCAGACTTTAGAAATGAAAAATAAAATGTCCAGGAAATCCCTGCAAGGGCTTGGACTGAACAGGAAGATCCATTACAGAACATTTTCAACTTCTTTTGGTGGATTTTTTCAACTTGCAAGCAGCAGAACGCCAAAACGCTAACAGGCAGGGCAAATTGAGCACAAATCAAATATTCTGTGGCCTGGGTTAGAAATTAAGGCACTGTTTATTTTTTTATGCTTTACACTTTGGCCAGCATTTATCCCGAATGAAGGCAGCAAATGTTATTAGATTTCATGGAATGTAAATAAACAGTTATTGGTAAATACATTTTGGTGGTCTGCTTGTTACACTGCATGTCAGGAAAACTATAGGGAACTGGCAGGAGTTCAGACGTCTTCAAGGAACACAGAAAACAGACATATTTTACTAATTATAGCTAACAAAAACACTCTGAGATTACAGTTAAATTACATTAAAACATAACTTGTTGGCAAGGGCTGTGAGCATAATGCTTTCCCTATATCTTTCTGTATAATGTTTCATCGGAACAGAGCAGTAACATGGGGAAACCCTGGCACAGACCAACCTTCGGGGCTGGTCCAGGCTGGTCACTTGGTTTCCTCACTAACTTCTGTAGGTCCAGTGTAGTTTCTAAGAGGTGGAAGACCTGGGTTTGCCCACAGCAGGTACTGTGGCACATCTTCATCTGAGCCTGTGCAGAAGGGAAGGAAAAAGAGGCACCTGCTACAGGGACAGTGTGGTTCAGTGAGAGCTGGGAGGGCAGAAGCAGTGGCAGGTGGAAGGCTCTCAGCAGGAGCTTCTGTATCCACAACATCTTACATGGAGGGACTGAGCCACCGCTGGCTCTGCTGAACCTTCTGCTTCTGTCTTTGTAGATGCTTAGAATCACAGAAGGGTTTGAGCTGAGACCTTAAAGATGATGCAGTTCCACCCCTCTGCCATGGGCAGAGACAACTTCCACTAGACCATGTTGTCTTCTGGGTCTGCAATGTACCTATGAGACAAGGAGAAAAAGAAGTGATGGCTCTGTTCTGGAGTCTTCTGTGGGGCACAAAGACATGTTTTGGCTGTGCCATTATATGGGGACCTACAGCAGCCAATCATATAGCTAAAATCAGGTCTGCAAGAGCAGACCTTTCTTTGCCACAGGAGGAAAGCAAGGCTTTCCTGCAGAAATCCTTCTGTTTGACAATGTCAGAGTTTCCATGACAAATGACCTGTAGCCAGTGCTGTCCCTGCCATTAGAGCGAGCAACCCCGCTGCATGAGGCATGTATGTGAACCCACTGTGGAGCTGCTTGCATTACACTGAGTCACGTTACAAACTATTAACTTATTTTTGTTGAGGTGCAGTTCGCATGAAAGTAACTCAATAAAGAAAGATGTTCAGAAGCATCGCATGTGAGCAGCATTAAGGTCACAGAACCACCAGGTGCAATGTGTTATTCTGCTCCCCCATGGCTGTACATCAGGAGGTGACAAGACTGGCACTCTGCTGAAAGCCTCTGAACTAGATCGATTTCCTTCCTTCTGCTGGGGGTTGCTAACACTGAGCAGTCCCTGGCAGGGTGACACAGCGCTGGTAGCTCTGCTGTGTCACCCATCAATATCCCATCCCTGGCAGTGTTCAAGGCCAGGTTGGACGGGCTTGGAGCAGCCTGCTCTAGTGGAATGTGTCCCTGCTTGTGCAGGGGGATGGAACTGGATGAGCTTTGAGGTCCCATTCTAGGATTCTATGATTCTGTGATTATCTATTTAAAACGAGGTAAATCAAGGTGGTCATTTAATCTGACCATTTAACATGACCACAACTAGACTTCAAGAAAGGCATGTATCATTTTGCCTGCCAAGTAAATGAAAGAAGAGTATAAGAGAATATCATATATACAGACTTACCTCTCCAGAATATTAATAACACTCCTGCCACTGTGCCCTACTTCAGAAACACACGGTTCCCGTGGCTCGGGTTACTCTTATGTCCATGCCCATGTGTAAAGAAATCCTCTAATGAAATCATGCTTTGCGATTACCCATGGTAATCTCTTCACTTGGACTGACTTTCTGACACATTTATGGCCCATTCTTTGCTGGGAAGATTTTTACAGGGGATCTGAAGTTTAAAAGAAGACAGATGACAAGCTGTGATCGCGAGGAGGAGAGGCTCACCATATGGAAATAGAAAGCCCTGGCTCTCTCCTCTATCCCTCCTCCCCCCTCCCCTGCCGAGTTTCTCTACTTCACATGATGCTATTGGGATTTGAAGATCAGAATACAAATTAAATTATTAAACAAGGAACAACAAAAAAAAAGAGCTTGAGCCTTTCCTCTCCATCCTCCCATGTGATCAGTAATTATAAATCAAAGTGGGGAAAACAACCCCGCTGGAAGCTGGCATTTGGGATATAGCCCAGTTGCCTGCAGAAGGATATAATGCTCAGGCGACAGTATGTGCCTTTGCATGCTATGGGGGTTCATGCATGAATGGGTTCTATAGCTAAGAAATTACTGTAATGGCAGAGACTGTTCCACAGAGCACGTTTATTGTATTTTTTATGGTTTACTTACTGGGAAGAGCAGAAGCATCACTCCTCAATCCAGTGCGTTTTGCCAGCATCAGACTCCCAAAAGCCATGCAGTGTCCCCCAAAACAGGCCAGCCAAGCCCGTAACTAATGCTTTGTAGCCACTGGTGCGTGGTAGCAACCTTTTAAAGTCTAGGCAGTCAAAGAGAAAGAAATTAATCCACTTCAGCTGGAACAGACCTCGAGATGTGGCAGGTTTTGGGCTTGTTTTGGTGTGGCACACTTGAACAAGTGGGTGATCCGGTCAGTCAATAGGTCAGGGGCAATGTCTATAGTTCTGGGGCTGGGACTCGCTGCCTGTGGTCCTCACCCCTGCACCCTGTGGGAGTGCAGGGGATTCTGCGCTGTTGAAAAACCCACACGCTGCAGGCCCCAAGTTTTGAAAGAGCTGGCTGTGTTTTCAACGCTGGCTTTGCAAGGCTTGGGCTCAGCTGCTGGCCTCAGTAGCCAGACTTACAAAATAAGCACTTAGTCCCCCCTTCAGTGCAGATTTGGGCTACACGGACATCCCATTTAGGCACCCGTGTTGGAACACCGGCCCCTTGTTTCCAAAATAAATAACTGAATCAATGCTACACAGAGTTTAACCTAAACACATAATGGAGCCTAAACTCAGATATGCACTGTAATCCATCGACAGGTCCTGGAGATGGCAAACTGAAGCCTGCTTTTATAATGTGCCAGCTCAGGGACCTGTTCCCAATTTCCAGATTTGGCCTGCTGCATTCTAAAAGATGCTTAATATACTCGATGCATGTTTGTGTTAATGTTTACCATTGAAGTTTTTCATTATTGGATGTTATATTTGGCCATAGCATTAAAATTCCATTGGACCGACTGAAATCTAGTGTCAAATCAAAGCCAAAGAAGCGTCTTTGTGATAGACCTTCAGCTCCCATCCAACCATGTGAAAAAAAAATCTATTGTAGGTGTTTTCTTTGTAGCTTTTCCTCTTTTTGCCAAAGAAATAGCAAACACTTTATTTATTAGCTGTTGTTTTTATATGCATAGGTCTGAGCCCAAAGCCATGGACTAGCATGGAGGCAGAAGCCGCTCTGCCAGGTGGGCACAGGTCCATCCCATACCAGGGTCAAGTGCAAGTGAGGGCGGCTGACACCTCCCTCTGAGTCCTTCTCCAAGGCCTTGTCATTTGTGATAAATAGGATTACTACCTACAGCCCTCTGGACTCACAAACTAATGCACCTTGGGGACAGCTGAGGGACTGCACTGGTTTTTCTGCTGCTTGCGAGCTCTTATTGTGACTTGGATCATGATCAACCTGGACAAAAACCAATTTCCCACTGTGCTAGTGCCCAGCACTGCTGGGAGAACAGCCCTGTCCTGAGAAGCCTCAAGCCTTGATTCACCAAAGTCCTTAAGCACATGCCTAAAATGAGATCTGCACCAGGACATGCTTAAAACGAAGCGCTTGCATTAACTGCACCTAATGAGGGATCTGGCTTGACCTGGGGTCCGGCTCTCTCCGCTTGCCTGCCTCTGCCTGCAGGCTGAGGGCAAGATTTTTATGTGGAAACTCAGTGATACAGCATCAAGAGTCGATCCCCAAGTGCCACGGGGAGTCACAAGCCTTAGGCGGATGCTGAGGACGCTCGGCACTTGCAGACTTGGAGCCTGAAATCACACACACGCTCACAAAAAACCCTGGCATGGCTCAGCAAGTCCAGAGCGAAAATAAATGAAGGAGGTTTGCCTAAGTCCAGATGTGTCTGAATTCAAAGGGACCTGGAAAATATGATGGCCTGGACACAAAAACTGGGAAACAGCATTTAAACATAAAGCCATGAGGGTAGGTTTGAAAAACAGTCAACAGATATTCTCTCAGCTAGTTAGAAAGGGGAGGCCTGTGAATAACTCATTTTTCAGTCCACCAAAGAACTGCCAGAGCAGGCAGCGATGTTTCAAACTGTGTCCCCTCCCCAGAACATTTTCTCCAAGTTTATCAAAATTCAGATCAGATATTTTGCATTTCAATGAATTCTGGTTTTCAGGATGGTGTTTTTTCATTTTCAAGATTATAAATTGAATTCTGTAAATGCCATCTCAGTACATAAGAGCATTTATTTTGCCCGTATTACAATGGCATGTTTTGATTAATGAAGAGTTCCCACTTCGCTCCAAACTGGATTTCTTTCTGAAATGGGAAACAAAACTCTCTGCCTGCAAAAATTTGCTTGGCTTTAGTTAAATGCTGAGACACTAAGAAAAAAGATCCGTGGCATTACACTGAAGTTAACGTTATATACTTGTAATATATAGCAGCAGTTCTAAACTGCACGCCCAGCCCTGGGATTACTCATATTGAAATATCCTCTTTAAGAGGCACACAAGAAGTCTGACATTTTGGGGAAAATGAAGGCACATTCCTATGAAGTCCCAGTGGTCACAGGCCACTAAGATGACCCTTGTTAGGGTCAGACTAAGATTTCAGCATTTAGCCCATTAGCATGGCTTATGGGACTGAACATATTTCTGTATATAGATCTGTTAAACCTGAATGGCCTTAATTTATCATTCTTGAAGGCACTGATTTACTAAAAGCCTTTGAGAGCCTGATGTTACTGGTTGAGATGTTACACATTACTGGTGCAACAGTGAAGTAAACCAGCTTTCTCCCAGCATCAGTACTGGTGGTAGCGATCGGGTTAGGATGGTTTACCAGATCCTCCCACATCAGCTCCCCATACGTTAATGTTTCTGGTATACACTTTTCAAAGGGATGGATAGGTTAAGGTTTGCTTGAGACCTGTTGCTGCTGCTGGCTGCACGCTGCAAGAAGTATCTGTTAGAATGGGAAAGTTTGGTGGTGTTCCCTCTAGAAAAAAAGTCTTTGTCACTGCTTAGTGAAGTGTGCAAAGCTGCTAATGCTGGTGCTGGTGCTCAGTGACAAGCTTCTCTTCTCACCATCACTGCTGTCTCCTCCTAGAATCACAGGATCAACTAGGGTGGGAAAGATCTTTAAGATCATCAAGTCCAACTCTCAGCAGGTATCTCATTTACGGCACCTTGTGCCCAGAGCTTCTGGAGTCGCCCATTGGCTTCGAATGTCATCCCCTGGTTTAGCTGGTGAGCACTTGCAGTTGGGTCAGGTGGAAACCACAGAGGCTGAACACCATTTCCCTCTCATGCTTCTGTATTTATCTGGCACTGATTTCATGAAAGGACAACTTGCCTACTATGGGACAGCCTGAAACAACAGACTGTCTGCTTCCCATAAAACTTAGAACAAATGTAGTGATGGGAAGGCCCTTTGTAGCAATGAGATGTCTTTACACTCTGCTAAAGTAAATCCATTTTGTAAAGCCACCAGCTGCAGACTTCTTAATTGCAGCACACAGCTTTGGCTATCAATGACATTTTTACCATATATAATCTTGAGTTGAAAGCCTACCTTTTATCATCCAGGTCCAACCCTAAGAAGCTGTTCCTTGCCTGATGCAGGATAAAAGAAGGGTAAGTGCCTCTTTACAAGCAGCAGGCACTACCTTCCCCTTATATTAAAAGAACTACGGTCCTCGCAAGGGGCTTGTAGCAGCTTCTAGCTTAAGTCAATAGGAAGACTTAGGTTTTGGGATCTGGCCATTTATACAGCAACAGCACAAGAGCTACACCAGGCTCCTACCTGTAACTTGGATTGCTCTACTGGCTTCATTGTGCAAACCCATTTTTATTAGCTGAGGATCTAGTCCATATACTATCAGAGCTTGCTGCAGCTATTCTGAGCCCAATCAGCTATGAATCGGGCCTCCTGAGTTGTTACATCTGCCACTTCCAAACAAAATGGGCTTCTAGCATCAATGAAATGGCATCAGAGAAAGCTTATAGCAAATGTAATATGTGAAACATTAACCACAATGCTCACAGTCCTAGAAAGGTCTGATAAGCCACGATTAAACTTAATTATGGATTATTTTATATTACCTACCTCCAAGCACTGTGGAAAATTGCTTCCTTTTAACTGCCTTGGCTGGCTTGCTCTGACCACACACATACTGGGGGATATTTTCCCATGATTGATGTATTTGTTTACCAAGCTCCTTGCTCAGATACAGGCCGATTCTCCCTTTAATCAGAGGTGTGAATACCTTAACAGTTGTCAGAGCCCACATTAGGCTGCTGATTAAAAGACATCCTCACACTTACCACTAAAGAAATACATGGAAAAAAGCAAATTCATATACTCAGTATAAAACTCACAATGAGCAAACAGTTATTTTATGTCCCACTTGTCCCATTTGTATCTTACAATAGAAATGTTGCTTTGTTCTTTCTTTGTTGTTTCCTTTAACCAATGAGTAGATGGAAGGGTTTAGGTGGGTTGAGTTTTTTTGCTCTTGCCTAAGGGTGAAAAGCATCATGAACATCAGTTTTCACTCGACTTTGAGTGCTTACCTACACCGGCTATTACTCTCTTTTGCTACAGCAATATTACCAATAAAATAAACATGTCAAAATTCAGAAGCACAAACAAGTTCATCTGTGACACTAATTTTGCCTGGCAAATAATTCTCCTTGTTTCTGCAAGGGCTTCAATTTCTTGTGGATTCAAAGCAAATTCATCTTTAATTTGATGTCTCTGTCTTATTTTTCTTTCCCAATCTCATTAGAGTAAAAATAGCAAGGATATCCATATGATTAAAGACTTCATGTGCAAGAAAGCAATCTGGTCATAGTGCTCCTTAGCTTTATGTACTTCTTTCTATTTGACAACATTAATTTGCCATCTGTCAGCTCAGTTACATAGTTTACTTGCTGCTTGCTTGGCGTTCACCTCCCCCTTTTTCGTTGTCAGCTGTTTTCAATAGTTGGGCCTCCTTGAGTGGGCCATTTATGCAGATCTGAAACAGGAGAAATCCTAAAAACTGACCATATGGGAAGCCACTTTGTACTCCCCAGGCTGACATAGCCATGCACAGCCCTCCTCCCCCTCCCGGGCACCCCAGCACTTGAAAAGAAATCCAGTTTTTCCATACCTCCATAGCACCTCTCATCTGGGGGACTCCAAGAACATCACACAGCAGATGCAAACAGCCCAGTTCTGCTCTCTTGGGCAGGTCTGCTGAAGTCAGCTCAATTGTACGAGATTTCCTGGGAGCTCCATTCAACCCTAACCATGCAGTCAAATAAACAGCAGAGATTGTTAAGTTCACATCAGGAAGGCGGCCAATACAAAATGGGCATGGCAAAATGAGCCCCTTCCACCAAGGGTGTCCTGCAGGGCCATGTGCTTTACTGCCTTGTCCCATGTGCAACCCAGGTGCAACCCAGTGGATGTTTCACATCAGCATCTGCAATAAGGGCTATGGATAGAATACAATGTCTCAATCTTCTGAGGAAACTGAGTTCCTGAAACTGTTCCTTTTTCATCTAAAAGCTTCAATTCTAGGGAAAAAACACCCAAACCCAAACCAAACAAACTGGGAGATGGGTGAAGAGAACTGGGAGATGAATGTAGTGCTTTGGAGAGGAACTGGAACAGGTTGATCCAAGAACTAGTAGCTGCTCCATCCCTGGAAGTGGCATCAAGGAAGTGCCATGAAGGCCAGGTTGGACAGGGCTTGGAGCAAGCTGCTCTAGTGGAAGGTGTCCCTGCCCATGGCAGGGTTGGAACTGGATGAGCTTTAAGGTCCTTTCCAACACAAACCAGTCTGGGATTCTATGATTCTATAAATGGCAACATCTAGCTCCCAAGTTCCAAGGCACCCCTGGAGTGGCAGAATAAAAGCTTTCATCTGATTTGTCAAAAATTCTCCCCAAAACTCTGAAATTTTCAGTATCTTCTGTCAGTGCTGCCACTTCCTCATTATTGCTGTTCATTTACAATATATTGTCTCTGCAAACACTTAATATTTTTGAAGTGATCTTTTATAGACAAATATGTCTATAAAAGTTGTTATCATTAATACTCTCTTATCTTTCAAAATCCATGACAGAGTGGAGAGCAGTGGGCAGCAACTCAGCCTTTCTGTGAACAATCCTGTTTCCCACTTGATGAAGCTGAGAAGGTAAAAACTGAACACTTCTTTCATTGGAAATGCCCTGGTTTAGGGACAGGAGGCTTTCACAGCGGCATCTCTAGAGCACATCTGGAGCTGATGTGGGAGGGTAGCCTGGCTGTCACATTGACAGCACTGCAACAGTAGGGACATTTTTTTTTCCCAGATCCCAAACATTTAACCTCCAAAACTCATACCTGATGCTCAGAATTATGCTTACAAAAGGAAATACATTAGTTTATATATCCGAAATAGTATCGATTGATCTGAATACACAGCAAACCTGATTCTGTCCATTTCTTCCATGTGATTTTCCTGCCAGTTGGAGAGTTTCAGAATACTCAGGAGCACTGAATTGGAAAGACGAACTTTTCTCCTGAGCAGAAAACCAGCATCAAGACTGGTTATGGCTTAATTCACAGGGGGAAACTGAGCTGTGCAAGCTAAGGCCTTCAAGGCTCACTGGGGCAGTGAGCATATGGGCTGCCCTTTGCCAGTCAGACTGGCCCATGCTCTTCCTTCTCCACCTAAATAGTGTGACGAGAAGTATCCTTAGAAAGGTTTTCATCCTCAGGAGTAGCTAAGTTACCTGCAGGTAAGTGAATTAAGTGGTTTGTATCCACACCAGAATTCATTCCATTCCAGAGCTGCCATGTGCTTTGTTCCTGCCCTGTTTCAGGAAGAAGTGACATTATCAGGGCTGTGACTCTTCGCACTGGTGGTGTGTTTGTTGTTTGTTTTCCCCTGGCTGCTTTCTCAAAAACTCATTTCCAAAATGTAAAAACCTTAAAACCTTTTAAACTGGAAAGCCAGTAGCAGATGTAGAATAGTACCTAGGGTCTAGATAGCTTAAACATAAAGAAGATCCTTCCTCACAGCCCTGCAGGGAGGAAGCAAGGTTGCGAAGGGATCTTAGTTTGGGTGACCTCCACCAGAAATCCAGCAAAAAGGATGGACAACACCATGGACATCAGCAGAAGGTGCCTCAACTCAGGCTGCTCCTGGAGCTCAGCTGAACGTGGTTTTGCTGGTTTTGATGGTTTTGATTCACACCCTGGGCAGAAAAATAGCCAGTGTTGGGGCAGGTCCTTGGCAAGGAACCCAAAAGAGAGCTGCTGGTGCTGGGGAGAGAAGGGTGATCCTATCTAAGGCATGTTGGTCAGAGGGCTGACTGCAGGCCTGGAGGCTGACAACACTTTACATCAGGATTACTATTTCCAGAAAAGATGGAAATGACTTTCCAGCTCTGATAGCCCAATCCTGGTATCAGCAGCCATGAGAAGATCACCCCAGTAAAGGGAAGTCCAGCTGTGAGACAGAGCCAAAGTAATACCTCCAGCACCGCTCCCCCGATGTGAGCCTGACCAGATGTGTGCTGCCTCTGGGGCTACAGCTGTCTGGTAATTCAGAACAGTCTCCAGGCTGCTCTCATTTAGGTTGGGGGCCAATGCACAGCTCACTTCAGACAGAGTTCAAAGGCTGCCCTGAGCTGCTCTGCATGCAGGCAGGCCACCGGCTGGACCCAGGGCACTGCTGCCACCAGCCACTTGCCAGCTTTGACTTCCAACCCTGTGCTAGGCTATGAGCTACAAATGGGACTGGTGAGTTGGTGGCTCTAATGGGCTACCCAAGGGTTCCTCCCACCTCCTCCAGGAACCCTGGTAAGTCCTGCTGTGCATCACCTCTCTGTAATGTATAGATGCACCCATATTCACGTAGCTCATGCTAAAATGTGATCCTACAAAGATATCCAAAGGTGGTCTGAGGTTGAAAAAGCTCATCCCATACTTGCGTGGCAAAGATACTTACCTTAAACTCGGTACCAAAGCCAGCACTTCATAATTTCAAAATGTAACCTCTGCTCCAAACGTTTCCCAGTATCAGCACATGTTGGCTGCAGATAACCAAACCTTCAGGAGTGGCTTTTTGGGGCTGTAAGCTCCGCACCACTTGCCAAACACTGCCTCATGCAGACAGTATGCTGGTATAGATGACAGAACCTACAACAGCAAAACAAATCCATAAACACCTTGATCAAAACCAGGAACAGCAGAAAAAAGAGGGAACACTGACATGATACTGTTGGCAAAACTTGGCAGCAATGTTCAGTTTAAGAAAGATGAGCCATTTCCATTTACAGTAAGACCTAACAGCTTCTGGGACACTGTTATATAGAGGCTGGGCTCATTTTAGAGGCATGGGAGTTTAGTGAACCAACCAGTACTCTTCCTCTCAGGGAAGACTCATTAGCTACAAGGAAACTCAGTGTGAATGGGAGGTGTGTGTGGGGTATGGGTAATTACACAGGCACCTCAGGAATAAATCACTATCCTACTGTTGATATGACTGCAAACCTGGAACTGATCCTCATTTTAGCCTGGGAGAAGGTCTTCAGAAACACTCTATAAACTACAAAGAAAAGAAAAGGAAATTGACTTTAAAACCAACATTTTAATAATACTGAGGTGTTGACAAAACCCTTGGAGAGCAAAGGAGCTCCATCGCACAGGACGGACTCGCTGCCCAGGGAAGTGGCTCCTGGGGCACTGTTGGGGCCACTGTTTTGTTAGCTCAGTGACTACTACTATCACTGTGTCTGGAGAGGAGGCTGTGGTGGGAAACAGGCTGCAGGGATACACATGCTGGTACTGGCTATCACACTGAGTACCTTCAAACACTTCTCCCCAGCAGGAGCAACAACAGAGGCAGGACTCACCTCACCTGAACAGGAACCTGCAGAGCCCTGGTGCTTGGCAGCATCACATGATGTGAAACATGGTTAGAGCTGGTGTATTTTTTAACAGGGAATCCCAGAGGGAATCGGGATGCATGCTCCCAAAGCACGTGTGCAGCTAGCCTGGGATGGAAACACGAGCGCAAACTGCAAGTCTGCTGTCTAGCACACAGACTTGGGGGCTCTAATACCCGAGATGCCTATACTGTACTACTCAATGTGTGCATACACTGACAATCTACCCTGCAAAAATGTAAGCCAGGCTCTTGGGCACACGACATACATAAATACACTCAAAGTCCCTTCTGGCTTTCAGCAGGCCACCTGACATCCAGCTGTCCAACAGATGCACTGCAGTGTCAGTGCTAAGAGACATGGTGATGCTGGTGGAGAGGGTGGACCTGTGCAATTCCCTCAGGTTATACCAGAAAAATGCAAATCTGGGAGGTTCAGGATGCTCTTCTGAAAGCCTGCTTACATTAATTCAATGCCCAGCAACATATGACCTAGCCCCAGCTGTAGGAGCATTGCTTTCTTGAAAATCTAAGGCTCTGTTCTCTTCCCTGTAATTGGGATGATAGTTCTGACTGCCTTTTCAGCAATGGCTGTCTCCTGCACTGGGGACATGCAGTGTCTTAAGCCAGCAGGTCTGTAATCTTTACAGAAGCCAGGCTGACAGCAATGTAACAAAAATCATACTGATGCTGTTTTAGACCATGGTGCAGAGTGCTTGTGTTGGTACTCTGCTCTCTGCAGCAAAGCATGCTGTTAGATCCAAACCCATGAGGGACAGGCATCAGAATCCCCAGATGACAACCAAATTAATGTAATACAAAAAGCCACAGAAGAACTGCACACGACACAGCGGCCCTGACTCACAGCTGATGCACTCTGCTACCTCCTGGCTGGGTTTGAGAAAATGATGCTGTTTCCAGCCAGCTGAGAGTCTCTCCCTGGTCCATGGCTCAAGCAGAGGTTTGAGAGCCACATAATAACCCCAGTCATTTCATAAAGCACTGCTGCTGAGCTGCCCCACGGAGCAGAGAGGACAGGCTGTGGTGGCTCCAGGTAGCCACCTCACCAGTAGTCATGTCAGTCATGCTCAGGTGGCTTAAAGGAATTAGTTTTCCATTTAATTTGGGAAATTTTCCCAGAGAGTCTCAACTCCTGAATACAAATAAGAGTTGCTTAGAAAACACTTCATTGCACTTGGCTACTGTTCAGCACTACACGGGGTCAGACGAGGAGCTCCTGGGCAGACCAGTATGGTTCAGTGTTAGTGCAGACACCTTTCTGAGTTTACCTGAGGTCATCCAGGAGTTCAGCCTGTGAGCAGCAGAACAGGCTTGAGGTCTTCTGCAGGTATCTGGTACTTATCATAGAATCCCAGCCTGGTTTGTGTTGGAAGGGACCTTAAAGCTCACCCAGCTCCAACCCCTGCCACAGGCAGGGACACCTTCCACCAGAGCAGCTTGCTCCAAGCCCCTGTGTCCAACCTGGCCTTGAACACTGCCAGGGATGGGGCAGCCACAGCTTCTCTGGACACCCTGTGCCAGCGCCTCAGCACCCTCACAGGGAAGAGCTTCTGCCTAAGAGCTCATCTCAGTCTCCCCTCTGGCAGGTTAAAGCCATTCCCCTTGGCCTGTCCCTGCAGGCCCTTGTCCAAAGCCCCTCTCCAGGTTTCCTGTAGCCCCTTTAGGCACTGGGAGCTGCTCTAAGGTCTTCCGCGAGCCTTTTCGCCTCCAGGCTGAACCACCCCAGCTTTCGTCCTGTCTTTGGTCATGCCCTGCTATTTCAACCTGCTAATAGGGAACTAACCCCCCTTAAATAACTTAATTTTACAGCTCTCCCCAGCCTTAATACTTGCTGCTTCCTGGGTCACCTGCAGAGGGAGGTCCTGGCTGGAACTGCAGGAGATGGGGGTGTGAGGCAGGCAGCAAAGCCTGGCACTGCTGCTATTCCCTCCTCCTCACTGCCCAGCTTCCCTCTCCATGTCTCCATCCCTGCTTTGCTTTCCTTATTCTTTTGCATTGTGGTTAGTTTTCAGATGCATCATAAAAATCCGCGTGCTGGGAATACTGTGGTTAAAACATGGGAATGCAAACATTGTGGGAATAACTTGGGTTTTGTTTTTCTTTTCCTTCCCTTTTTTTTTCCCTTCTATAAACTTAACTTTTCCACTTCTTCAGTGTGTTGGCACTTAGAAGTTGTTTGGCCTGTTAACAGAAACAAGGACTGAAGGGGTCACATGAATGATCTGTTTAGAAAAACAAGCAAAGCCTGTTGCAAGCTCTCAGCCATGGTTTGCGCAGGTAATTCCTGGTGTAAGGACTAGCACATCTAAGCACTCAGCAGCTGGAAACTCAGGCGGCCGTGACTCATGGACCCTCTACCCTCCAAACCCAGTTGCCACTGTCCTCAACCCCCACTTGTTCCCATTCCTCTCGCACAGAAGCCTGCTCTCACCCATCCCCAACCTCTCCTATGTTTGTCAGCTCCTGTCCAAGGGCCCTCTTCAGGCCATCCCATTCCTTCTCCCAGCTTTGAGAAGATGACCATTAGCTCTTACTACTGACCATAGTCTTGCCCTCAGTGGTCCTTACTGCTATCTCCCTACATGGCTGACACCGTGCATGCTTCTGCATCCTAACAGCTCATTTTAACAGCCACTGGAAGGTCACAGTTGCTGCAGATCTCTACACAGGTCAGGACACCGCACGGTCTCATCACAGTGTGCCACAACCCATCCCACTCAATACTGAAGACTTACAGTACTGAGTTACTGAAGACTTACAGTACATGAGCAAGTTCATGGTGCTGGCTCCACGGCAGCTCCAAGGTCACTTGGCAGCACATGCTGAAAAACAACCCAAACCAACACATCTTTTAATGTCATTAGGGTTTGGATTTTTTCAGTGGTTCTTACAGATCCATCCTAGATCATCCCACAGACCAATCTGCGTTTGAAAGACTCAATCATCTGCATAGAATAATAAGAAGACAAAAAACGTTTTCTTAGGAGTATGTTTCATTTTTCCATCAATGGCTCCTATTATCACATTAGCAATCACTACAAAACCTTCATCCCCACCACCCCCTGCCTTCACACATGTTGAAGGAAGAAAAAGCTGATGTTCATGTCCTATCACCTGGAGACCTGAGATTGAGGGAGCCTACACAGAGCCTAGGAAGGGCCTTGCAGGAGAGCAAGCACTGGTAAGGGCTAAGACATGGCCACGGACACTCACCTTCTCCCAAAGGCCAGGTTGGATAGAACTTGGAGCAAGCTGCTCTAGTGGAAGGTGTCCCTGTCTGTGGCAGGGGCTTGGAACTGGATGAGCTTTAAGGTCCCTTCCAATACAAAGCAGTCTGGGATTCTATGGGTCTGTAAAGTCTCCCTCTGCTTCCCAGGAAGTAGTGCTTTTCAGAAAACAGTACTTTGGTTTCTACTTTTTCAGTACATTCCCACAGTTCTTCCAAAAGGACTCAAGATGTGATACTGTTGAAAAATAAAAAAATAATTAAAAAAGCTTTTCTTTTTTATGATCTTTACTTGCATCTCCTGTACATTTTGGGTTGGTTGTACAATGTTGTTCGTCATTTTTTTCACTCTTCATCAGTGTCTTGGGGATGTCTGTGTTCAGTCCATTTCTAAAGGGCTTTGGATACTGATGTCTACTCCAAAACCAAGGGGGTTATTTGAGCTCTTAGTCCCAGTACTATCTGCAAAGCTCCTGGGGAAGTGCCGTTGTAGCAGGTCATAAGTAATAATTAGAATTATTTATAGTGGGGGCTGCAGAACAGAATTGAAAGTGTCATCAGATTTTACATCCAAAATATTGTCTAACTTAGTCCTTTCTAATTCCCAGGCATTGCTGTGGGAAGATACAATTGCACATGTAAATACTTTCCCATGCCTCCTCACCATGTGCATATTTCGCATGTGTAAAGCATATGGGAATGTACACAGGGCCTCGTTGGAGATGTAGTGTGTGTGTAAATTGTTGCTTGTCTACATCTGTGTATCTAATTGCATGTGAAAATCACTACTTTAGTTGCATCAATGAAATACAACTTTTTGAAAATACAGCTTGCATGTGTTTCTCATTCATTTTAGCGAGGCACAAGATGATCCAGTTGAAAAACAGTAGCTAAGACCAGATGTTCTTCTGTTCCTCCAGCGTGAGAGAAGCAGCTCAGCCTTAAGAAAGTCAAAGCTGCTTAGTTTAGGATGCTTGCAGTACCATGGGAGAGAAAGATCATCTCCTTCAGCAGCCTCCTTTTCCAAGCACTCTGACCTATCCCAAACAATGTTTATGGCAGAAGTTCACCTCTGCTTCCAGTAATTTAGAATCAAGCACCAAGTCACTGTCAAGTGTTGATGAGCAACAGTGAAGATGGTCATTCAACAGGGGATGCTCCTGGGGACACTACTGGACAGTTAAGACTGGACATATGGCAGAGGTTTAATGAAGTACATGATGAGAATGGCAACTCACCCAGCTGTGCCAATAGTCATTTTTAAGCCATGTGCTTAATTTCTAAACAACTGAGTTTTAAAGATTTTAGTAACTCCTTGAATTTTTCCACAGCTCTGCTGCTGCTGTGGTCATACTTCCAAATTCAATGTACCTCTTACTCCTCCACTTAAAACATTCACTTTTCATTAAACCTG